CGGGGTTCCAAACTCGCCAAGGCAGTACATGGCTACTTGTACCAAAGGTTGATGCTCCGTCGAGTTCTCCAACAACCGACATAAGCTGTGAAAACATCACAATCCGTCAAAATGAGGGAAAAAAAATGTACGCTACACATCCAATGAGACGCGTTTCTAAAATTGGTGGCACAATAAAACCACAATTTCGCGCTTAACATAAGACGCTTAATAAAAATTCAGGGTGCTTCATACAATGAATGTTATCTGAGATTTGCATAAACACAAGCAAAAAATCTATCTTCCCTCGAACCAAGTTGCAGTTAGCATATTAATGAATCGCAACATCATCTACGCGAAACCCGAATTTTTTTCAAGTCCACGTTTGAATTCCCTTGCAAAGATTGCATTAAAAACGTTCCTAACTCAAAAGCTTCACCTCTAACTAGGCAAATACAGTAAACCCTTTCCTCCTTGTTCAGCATCCTGTCAACTCTCTACCCCAATAAAAATGAATGTTACCCTAACTGTAGTTTTTTGCTGGTCCCCTGAAACTCGACGAAGACGTTCGAATGCACTATAAAATACAAGGAAAAATTTGGTACACTCGACAGTATATCAAGAAAAAGAATCATTTGAACCACGGCCACAATAACGCCAGAGACCAGCGAAAAGCCTCACCGTCTCACTGAATACCCGTGCTGGTCAGTCGATTCCCCGACGAGATAAATCACACTAGCAGTCACATCGTCCTGCACCGAATTCCCGGCCAGTTCGAGCACTTTGAACAAGGTATCAAGGTGCCATTTCCGATCCGGCGAGTGACGATCCGCCACAGCCACAAGGTTCGATGCACACGTGGACTTCAATTCCGGCTCTGCATTCGCCAGAAACCCCAACAGCTCTTTCACCAAAATGGTCACGTTCTGGTTATTGATGAGAGCAAAGGTGAGTTCCATGGCCCGTCTTCGGATCGTCTGATCTGGGTCTTTCAGGCACTCCAACACGGTTCCGCGATGTCGCTGCACTGCGGCGTTTTCTACAGCAACGCTCTTCAGCAGCGTGTTCAACGCAATGTAGCGAATGTTTTTGTCATTATTCAACAAGAATCTAAAATTTTTAAAAAGAAAAAATTTGTCGTCGTAAGCAGAACGAATTTGGAAGCGAATGAAATTACCTCCCCAGAATGTTGATAGCGAGAACTCGAAGCCCAGACTCGGACTTGATGTCCATAATCGTCAAAACCGTCTCGTAGAGAATCGCGTTCCCCACATTCTTCGACGTTTCCGTGTTCGTCGCAACTTGAGCGAGAATGTCATTCATTGTTTCACTACACTCGTTATCCTTCCGACCGAGTAACCGCAAAAGATGCAGTATTTTAACCTGTTGAGCACACGTCATACCAACGTCAGAAATGCAAAAAAAAAGGGAGCGAAACGCAAGTCATCCACCTGAAGAAAAGGATCACTGATCCCAGACACATCATGCTCAGGAGAATAACCGGATACTATCAGGTTTTTCAAAGTTCGCACAAGATTTGGCGCCATTTTCCGAAAATGCTCCAGTGTGTCCGGACATCGTCGGCACATTTCTGTAACTAGCGTGACACCGGTGATTAGCACACCGTGGTTTTTCTCCTGAAGCAATCGTCGCGTCGCTGGAAGAAACATTTCCAAGTGTTCCGGAACTTTCGATATCATCCTAAAAGCGCACAATACCTATGGAAAATTTAAAAATAGATTAAAGTGTCAACAAATACATTCTGCAGTTCTGATATTTCAATTGAAACACCCCAGCTTGCGTTTTCAACTATAAAAATACAATATCAAGAAGAACGTCCCAGCTGTTCGAAATTCATAGCCCAGATGAATTTTAAAATGCAAAATCGCTTCAAAAAATTATTACACGATCACGATTCATAATCAATATTCAATACTGAAAGTAAGCGGGAAATACAGTACTGACGATGCGCAAGTGAACACCAGAAAACTTCTTCCTATTTCTAAAAAATGTCAGAAACTTACCGCTTTCTTTCGAACATAAGAATTGCTGGATTTCATTAGCTTCTCCACTTCAGGAGCCAAATCCCGGGACATTTCCGGAGACGCAATGGCACCTAAGCAGCACAAGGCGAGACCAACGATGAACTGCGTCGAATTGTTCAAATCGTTCTTCAATGAGTTCGTTATCAAGAGGTGAATGTCGGATCTTTCGTCCAGAAGCAACATCGCTCCCAAGTACCCGATTCGTTTGTCCGTGTACCGAGGACTAGCGATTAACTTCAAACATTCGAGTTGACCGAAGTGCGCCTGGTACCCAAGCATGTGGATGTACAGCAGTTTGGCGACGTTGCGACATCGCCACGGTGAATCCTCATCCCTAGAAACACAAAATAAGGATGCTTTTGAATATAACTCCGCCGTCGAGGGTCTGACACTTGGCCACATCAAAATGAAAGTTGATTCAAAATTGTTTTCCAGTACTGTGCCTGAAAATACAGTATTTCAAACGCTTTACTTTGCTAATGAAGCAAAAACTCTTGACATGGACATTTTTCCATGAAGCAAAATGTCCAGAAGGAGCTGTTTCTTCAATTACAAGGAGTTTTCCAGAGAGGATTGAGTTTTATACAAGTTCCATTTAGAAAATCCCTGATGACGGGAAATTAAATTGGGAAGCGTTTAACCCAATTCATGGAGGCAGCAGTAATCACTCAACGTTTCACAGAAAATTGCACAGGATAATCGAATTTTCATTTATATACAATAGAGCCTTTTGAGTAGAACTTCAAGGAACCATCCAAAAATTCGACACAGGGAAACATACACTTATGTCGGGGGAAAAAAGAATTCAAGGAAATTGTAGTTGGTGAAATTTTGGGCCTTGAACTGTTTTTTAAATTATTTGACAGGATGCTGTATTCATTTCAGTTTGCCTAATTAGTCTTCCACTATTTTCAAAACAAATCCAATTTAAATTGTTATTGCTTTTATCTTTATCATGTCAATAAAATAATATCAAACGCCTCAAAAAATTCGAGTTATGGAGAATTTAGAGGGGAAAGCAATCGAGTTAGGGAGGTTTTTAATGCAGTGTTTGTCAGGGAATTCAAACAGGGACTTGAAAATAATTCGAGGTTCGAGTTATCGAGATTCAACTACGATTGGTCAAGATCAGAATGAATGAACAATAGAAACCTAGAACTGTTCCCTTACCTGAAGGTAGTACGAATGTAAGCGCATTCCTTGTTAACCACGGCTCTTTCGTCAGCAGCTGTTCGAGCAGCACGAATCTGTCGGATAAGATCGCGCAACCGTTTCGACTGTGGCGACTTGACTTTCTCGACCGCGTCATTGAATACTTGTCTAACGGTAGACATAAGAGCCTCGGGGCTCGGCGCACTTGCCATCATTTTGATTCAACGAAAATCGAAACTCGCTGAGCACAAGAAGAAATTTAGATTACCCCTGGAAATAAACCAATACACCGGCACGCGTAAAACTCAGCTTGAAATTTCCTCAACACGTATGACAGATCACAAAGCCCTTTATTCCAGAAATTCAAGCGAAGTGGATTCCTTCTTTGTTGAACGCATGCAGCAACCTGGAAAAATTAATGAGGTCAAGTTACGTTCAAAATACAGTAAAGCGTTCGTAATTCTTACGTGAGGAAATCGTCTATATCCATGGACCGAGCTCGCTTTTTGTCGAATTCAATCTCGGATAAGATCGAGTCCAACATCTCACGCATATTGAAGGAATCCGGGATTTTTTTATTCGTCTGCGAGCAATGCGTTCGGTAATTCTTCTCCAGAACCTGTAGAACCGTCGTTTGTACAAAACCTGCCCTCAGAGTTTTGTTTTTCCGCAAAAACACAATCCTAAGCATTCCATCCCATTCTTTAAAATTTATAGGAGGCGGCGGATTCCGGGGTTCAAGTCGAATGACGCTGGATTCCACTTTTGGAGGAGGTCGAAAATTGTTGGCACCCACCTAAATCAAAGAGAAAAATTAAAATGACAATTTCTCTAAAGATAAACACCAAGAACAAACCTTCATCAAGTGATCTACCCTGGCCAGGAGCTGTGTATTGACTGACAGGCGACAATAAAGCTTATCTCCAGGTTCGGCAACAAGGCGTTGAGCGAATTCCCGTTGGAACATCAAAATCGCACATCTTCCCGTTTGATCGTAAGAATTGTTTGTGAACTCATACCAGGTGCAAACAAAAAGGCTTTCTTACTTGAAAAACGGTCGGTGAAGAAGCAACTTGAATATGAACGGTGATGAAATTTGATACGGAAGATTGGCAACGCATACGTCGAAAAACGGCAAATCGTGCTTCAAAACGTCGCCCACAACGATTTCAAGCTTTGATTGAAACTGTGAGCCCATGAAACGCTTCTGAAGTTCGGCAACCATCCGGGGATCTACTTCAAATGCCACGACTCGCTTCGCTTTCTCAAGTAGCTTTGCGGTCATATTTCCAGTGCCCGGACCAACCTCAAGCACAGTTTCGTTCTGATGAATTCCTGCCTTCTCAACCATCGATTGCACGATCAATGGATTCTTCAGAATGTGCTGCCCAATGTCCGTCCGAAAAGGGATGTCTGTACAAGCCAGAAAAGGTGGTTACACTTTAAATCGCATCCCAGAACCAGACGACATACTTTGCGAAACCACGGATGGCTTCTTCGCCTTCTGTGACTTGACAGCTTTCGCTTTACCCATGTCGACGGCCGGAACACTTCCTCCTAAGCACACACCAAGCCACAAATCACGAATCAGTTCTACGTGGACTTCCGCATGGCGTCACTTATCAGATATTCTCGAGGGATTCGAGCGCGAAATGTGTCTACACAGTAGATTAGGAATCTGCAAGTAAAATGCAGCTTTCTTCGCCTGCAATCACCACACGCAGTCGAAGACTTTAAGCGAAGCGAGTCACCTATTTAGTTAGAAGCATCAGGGACGTAGCCATAATCCATCTCTTCCTACATCTATCCGAAAGCTTAGTAACTAATTTTTCTGCCCCTCATTTGCTGACATCTATGAATACATGGAGAAACGAAATTCGGGCAAGTCAAGAGAAGTTACAGCACCGAACTTTAAAAATCTCTGTACAAACAAAGTTAAAACTCATGTCAAGTACAACGGGATTAAAAATTTAAAAAATTCTTTTATGCGACTCCATGTTCTACCGCTTTCGAAAAAACAGGGCTGCTAAAACTGCTGGGATTGGTGGTCCGATGTCCATGAAGTTCATAGATGTCGACAGTGGAGAAAAGCGAATTTAGAATCTTGGTGCACGGATAGATGGAGGCAGTGTTGGAATTCAGCTAATCCTAGCAGCGCCCACTGCGCCGCTTAGAGCTGGAGGTGATAGGTCGGATTTCGGTTGTCGCCGACTTAAATCGATTTTCGCTTCCTAATTTTTGGCGGTCATTGTAGGTGAACGGAGTTCGTGAATTCGGCTTGAAGGATTTTCTGTGTATCCACCATCGGTGTGGATTTAGATCGCAGAAGTATAATCTAATAATATGGCATCGGTGTCACTTGACAAAGAAGCCTTTGTTCGTCGCGCGAAACGCCTTTATGCTTTTTGGAAGGTAAATGTTTTTGTATCATGCAGTCAAATTTCATCTTTTTATGCGTGGCTTTTCTCTGCATTAGGTTCGCTTGACCACTGACCAAAGCGAGGATGGCTTCAAGATTACGGATGCTATTGTGAGTGCTCTCGGTGCAACGGATGATACCAGCTACAGCAAGAACACCGCATTGCAAACATGGCTTTTTGGTTACGAGTTGCTGGATACAGTGATCGTAATGGCAGAGAATTGGATAGAAATTCTTGCGTCAAAGAAGAAAATAGCCTTTTTAAAGCCCCTGGAAACATTAGGGAAAGATTCAAATTTACCCGAAGTCCGCCTTTTCACTCGCGAAAAAGTACGTGCGCTGTTGAGTGATCGATATGGAATAGCATGAATGCTTTCGTTTATTTTCAGGGGGATACGGCTAAAGACGTAGAAGTCTTCCACAAACTTATTGTTAGCATCAAGGCCAGCCGGAGGGGTTCAACGATTGGAACTTTCGTCAAAGACAAAGCGCGAGGAGAATTCATTAAGGCATGGGCAACCGCCCTCGAAGAAGCAAAAATCAGCAAGGTAAATCTTGATATGACCTTTTTTCGAGTGCGTTTTAATCACATTTTGGCAGACTGACATATCTTCAGATGTCGGACTATTGCTTGCGGTGAAAGAAGACCTTGAACTATCGATCATGCGGCGTTCAGCTCAGATCACAGTTGACGTCTTCACTAAATTTCTCCGGGATACAATCATGAGTGTCGTGGATGCTGAAAAGGTTTGTTGATGCCATTCTTGCCGCACGAACATCGATCCACTTTCTTTTCTCGCAGAAAATGAAGCATAACAAACTTGCCGAGTCAACGGAGCAAGCCTTGCAGAATAAGAAGTTCGTTTCTGACCCGAAGAATGTAGAAGTTTGTTATCCTCCGATCATCCAAAGTGGAGGTCACTACAACCTCAAGTTCAGCATTCTCAGCGATGGCAACCAACTGCATTTTGGCGCGATAGTATGTTGTCTGGGCATCCGGTACAAAAGCTATTGCTCCAACATTGTGCGCACGTTGATGGTGAACCCTCCCGATAAAATGCAGGTCAGTTGATTTACGATTGAGTCTGAATTTGTTTTTTGCTTTTTACGTTTAATGGCATTCATTTCTGCAGAAAAACTACGATTTCTTGGTGCAACTGGAGGAATACTTGTTGGAGCAGCTGAAGGATGGCAAGAGAATGTGTGACGTTTATGAAGCCGTGATTGCAGAAGCGACGAAACAACGGCCGGATTTGGTCAAGAACCTCACGAAAACCTTCGGGTAGGATTATTTTCGTTTTTCCATACATTACAAAAGTTACGACTGCGAATTTTTCTTTGATAGTTTCGCAACTGGTGTCGAATTCCGTGAAAGTGGATTGCTGATAGGACCAAAAACGACAGAGGTTGCGAAAAAGGACATGGTCTTCGTCGTGGCTATTGGACTGCAAGATCTGACCAATCCAGATGCTGGTGATGACGCTAATGCAAAAACATATGCGTTGTTCATTGGCGACACCGTTATTGTCAATGAGGTTTGACCTGCCTTCCATTTCAAATTTTGAACTGTTTGAAAGCTGTATCTTTGCCGATTTCAGAATCAACCGGCTGGTATTTTCACCAACAGCAAGAAGAAGCTCAAAAATGTAGGTATTTTCGTGCAAGATGGCGAAGAAGAAGACGACGACTCAAATAAGGAGAATAATGAAGCGGAATCGGAGCTACTTGGTCGTGGCAAGCGTAACGCCATTTTAGAAAAGAAGTTTCGCGAGCCAGGGCAGGAGGAAAAGCGACGGGAGCATCAAAAAGAATTGGCCCAGAAGGTGAACGAAGAAGCTCGAGCTCGCCTGGCATCTCAGAAAGGCCAGAAATCCACTGACAAGTCTCGCAAGGCCAGTGTGTCGTACAAAAACTCAAACCAAGTCCCTCAGGAGCCCGACATTCACAGGCTCAAGATTTTCGTTGGTGCGTACGTAATTTCGAAACTTGTCTTTCCACATTGACGAGACACGATTTATTTTCAGATCACAAATACGAGACTGTGATTTTGCCAATCTACGGCGTTCCCGTACCTTTCCACATTTCCATGATTAAAAACACGTCGGAAACTGTGGAAGGAGAGTACACGTATCTTCGTATCAACTTTTTTCATCCGGGATCCGCGATGGGTCGGCAAGAGGGAGGCTTTCCCAATCCGGAAGCAACTTTCCTGAAAGAGATGTGTGTATTTTGTTGGTGCTCTTCTTTTTTGTGGATTTTTACAGTTTTCTCTTAATTTGTTGCAGTACGTATCGTGCATTGAACATCAAAGATCAAGATGGAACGTCGCCGTCCAGCAACCTCAACACTGCATTTCGCCTCATCAAGGACGTTCAAAAGAAGTTCAAAACCCGCGAGGCTGAGGAAAAGGAGAAAGAGAACCTAGTAGAGCAGGACACTCTTCTGGTGTCTCACAACAAGGCTAACCCTAAACTCAAAGATTTGTTTATCCGGCCAAACATCGTTGCCAAGAGAATGACTGGTAACTATCCTTTTTTTGTTGCTGTTGTTCAATTATCGACTTTACTGCAACTCTAACAATTACAGGTTCTTTGGAAGCGCACGCAAACGGCTTCAGATATACGTCTGGGAGAGGAGATAAAGTGGACATTCTGTACAACAATATTAAGCACGCGTTTTTCCAGCCTGGCGAGGGGGAATCCATTATACTTCTCCATTTTCATATGAAAAATGCTATTATGTTCGGGAAGAAGAAACACTTGGATGTTCAGTTCTATACGGAAGTTGGCGAGTTGACAACGGACTTGGGCAAGAACCAGCACATGCATGATCGCGACGATCTGGCTTCGGAGCAGGCTGAGCGTGAACTGCGCCACAAACTGAAGAACGCCTTCAAAACGTTCTGTGACAAGGTTTGTAGTTTTTTTTTTTTAGATGAAAGTAAGCAGCAAATTGCTACCTTTCCTTGTCTCGTTTGTAGGTGGAAGCTTTGACGAAGAACAACGTGGAGTTCGATGTTCCGTTCCGCGCCCTGGGTTTTCATGGCTGTCCGTTCCGTAGTACCTGTCTTCTTCAGCCGACGTCCGGGTGCTTGGTGAACCTCACAGAATGGGTGAGAAAGGGTCATGATTTAATTTATGCATTCACAGTATGACTCCAAATTGTTATCGATAGCCGCCATTTGTCGTAAGCCTGGAAGACGTCGAAATCGTGCATTTCGAACGAGTGCAGTTCCATTTGAAGAATTTCGACATGGTCTTCGTTTTCAAAGACTATCATCGGAAAGTGGTGACGATCAACGCGATTCCCATGCAGATGCTTGATCACGTTAAAGAGTGGCTCAAGTGAGTTTCCGCACGTCTGTCCTCCTTTTGCTTCTCCTGCTGAAAAAAATTTTATCAACAGCTCTTGCGATATTCGCTATTCCGAGGGAATCCAATCGCTCAACTGGTCAAAGATTATGAAAACCATAACGGAAGACCCTGAGGCGTTTTTTGAAGAAGGTGGCTGGTCTTTCCTTGACCCCGAGGACGAGAACGAAGGTGTTGGTCAGGAAGAGTCGGATGACGAAGACGAAGAGGACGAGGAGTTTAAGCCCAGTGACGCGGAAGATGAGGAAGAAGAGGATGAAGATTCTGACGAGAACTACTCGTCTGAAGCGTCGGATGACGACGACAGCGCGAGTGATGACGGTGTGTTTTCTTTGATTTTTTTTTCTGCTTCTGGTCTGAATTTGGAACCGTTTTTTTGTGCAGATATGGGAAGTGATGAAGAATCTGGCAAGGATTGGTCTGATCTGGAAAGAGAAGCTGCGGAAGATGATCGACATCGTCGGGATTTCGAGGATGAATATTCGAAAGGAAAGCCGGGGGCTCCTAAGCGTGGTCCTCGAGACCATTCCCCACCGTCGCCGAAGAAAAAGTAAAGGGTTTCTTTTTGGTAAACGGTGGAATGTTGGACGTCACTCTTTTTCTTGTGTGCCACAGGAAGAGCGACAGGGACGACCGTCGGTCGGACAAGAAACGTCCTAGCAGTTCGAAATCATCCAAGCACGATTCTCCGTCGAAGAAGTCGTCATCCAGTATGAAGAAGTCTTCTTCGTCGAAACACCACTCCTCCTCATCCTCATCCAAACACTCTTCGCCGTCGAAGCATTCCAGCTCCAAGAAACGCCCGCACAGTGGAAGCGACGACCGGCAATCGAAGAAACGACGCTAAGTCTGATCAACAGACATGAATGGCTCCAAGGTGACTTTGATTTCTCATAATTGCTTCATTATGGTGATCATTTTTGTTGATATTTCTAAAGCACTTCTGGCAGAATTACTGCCTACATTCTCGTCAGAACGACGAAATTTTGTTCCCTTAACGTTTGTGGGTATTGAAAAACGATTCAGTTACTTTGGTAACTCCTCGATGTGAAGAAATTATTTTTGTGGGGGAAAAACCTGTTCAAGAGTGAGATACGGCACTGGTTGAAACAGAAATAGCCATTTTTTTCATCAGCGAATTTTCTTTTCTAATATCTCCGGTTTGGATTGAGGCGTAACGAAAAGAACAGAAACTGATATCATTATTTTCAGAGAATCTCGATTGATTATTTTTTTGTGTAGAAATGAATTGTTCATCAATGCCTACAATTTTATTGTAACGGGGGTCCGTATTGTTTTCCCATTAGGTTTATAATACCTACAAGAGAAAAGAAAGATGATTCGAACGTTGATTTTTGTTCTGTTCTGCAGATGAAATGAAGTAAGCTGTGGATAGCCGAAGTGAAGGCAAACGCAGATGATTGAAGCTGCACGACTGGAAAATGTTTTTTTTTCTGAGGAATACTTTTTATTTCTCAAGTTCCAAGAAACTTGCTGCCGAGAAAAACGCTCTTTTTACAACACAACTCCGGAAATAACGTGCGGTCGAGCGAGACAAACTCGGAACAAACTACATTGTTTTTTGTTTTTTAAAATCAGCGATTTCCAGCCTCTTGTTCCGACGGCGAAAGAATCGATCTCTTTAATTGAAAGATTGTATCTTCTGTCAGCCCACTCAGCTTGTGTCCCTCTTGACGGTGTGTGCTGCTCCTTTTTTAGTGTGGATATCGTTGGCTTCTTCTAGGCGGTTTCTCAGCGGGACTGTCCATGGCGGGTATGAATGAAAAGTAAATTTTCCATCGTCGTTCATCCGTGTGTTTCTAGTCCGAATCTTATTAGAAGGTGGCGGTAGTTGTGTGTTATGTGTTCCTGTTCCGTGTTGCATGCTGGCTCGCCTGTGACACGATCTCGGTCCGGAATGAGGTATTTTTTGAAGCAGCGACGTTATTGCGGGACGGAAAATAAGAGAACACTGCTGTCTTCTTGTATATTTATGCGGCCGTGTCTGCTATTTTTCATTCGTTTTCATTATTGCGAGAATTGCTGGTGGAGAACCTCCGTCCGCAGCAGGTAAGTTACGAATTTTTATGCAAATTGCCGGGGAGGATTGCGCATCCGAAATGCGGGTGAATTTTGGTATGAGTCTTCATTATCTTATGAGCTGCTTTCCCGACGTATTCCATTAATTATCGACTAAGTGTTCTAGCATACAGATGACGGAAGATTCTGTAACGATTTTTTCCTGATACCAGTAAATGTACAAAACATTTTTCGTTGAAGTACAGTTTCAGTGGAAGAATTCCGATGAAGTGCCGTCTGTAGTCGAGCTACTTGAGGCGATTTCCGGGTCTCCACGGAGGAAAGCTTTTTTGACTTGGTTGCAGGAAAAAGAGCTTGCAGATTATCTCTCATCCTTGGAGGCATGTGGTTTTTTTCGAATTACGAAATTCTTAGTTCATGTAAGACATCGCTTCGAGACACGAACTGTATTCATGAGGGATAATACATGGTCACACGTTCATCACCCCTTTTTGTCTTGGGTGAAGCATCACTGATGACGGCAAATCACTTCGGACTACAGTGAAATCAACAATGATTCATTCTAACAACTGCCTTGGATGTGGTGAAATACTTGCAAAAAGTCAGACATGTAAATTTTTTCCGTCGTTCAGATTCGTCCTTCCTCGAGAATTCTTACGTGAAATGGAGTACAGTACTTTACTGTACTTTATTACACACGCGATACCTGAACTGGCAGCTGCGCTCTACTCGGGAAGTCCCCATCCCTGCTCTTTGACTTTCCTAACTTTCTTCTCAGATGTCGCAGGATGTCATTATTAAGTTGTACGGCGCGACGCGTATAGCTTCAACAGTCTAACTAATACGATCAACTGCAGTTCGGCGTTTCTTTTATTTATAGTATTTACCAGAAATGCAAAACTTTGTATATTGTTCAACGAATGCCCATTTACTGTGTTAGAAACGGCAAATAAGGTAAGCATTCGAAGATTAGCTTTTATTCAATGTGGATGAACAACCCTAATACAGTACAGCGAAGGCAGATTTGTAATCATGTAAATAATGTATATGCTGTACTGTATATGAAACTATACCGGTTGGATCACTGGCTCACTTGTGTGTTACATAAAATTCCCAAGCACTTCTGTAGATCATGAAGAACTGCTTCAGAAAGTGCTTTTTGCAGATGACCTTTAAAATTTGTATGGTATATAAAATGCTTCGGCTTCAAATTATTCTTCAGAAAAATACGTCAGAACCCGCATCGATTTTCCCTATAATCCCTGCGTACAGAGAAATTCCTTGCATTTGTCGGGCTTCCTCAAAAGAGCGACGGGGTATAATAAGTACAAGGAAATCCTAGTTCTTATACCAAAATAAAAGCATGGAACAAAGCCAAGGACAAAGCACTTACCTTCTCAAGCAAAGTCTCCCTTACACCAGTCGAGCCACAGGACTGTTGCAGTGAACTTCTTTCTTAATGTGAGTCTGTCTATGTGAAGGAAAAATATCTGCGCTCTACTCGGGAAGTCCCCATCCCTGCTCTTTGACTTTCCTAACTTTCTTCTCAGATGTCGCAGGATGTCATTATTAAGTTGTACGGCGCGACGCGTATAGCTTCAACAGTCTAACTAATACAATCAACTGCAGTTCGGCGTTTCTTTTATATATAGTATTTACCAGAAATGCACGACTTTGTATATTGTTCAACGAATGCCCATTTACTGTGTTAGAAACGGCAAATAAGGTAAGCATTCGAAGATCAGCTTTTATTCAATGTGGATGAACAACCCTAGTACAGTACAGCGAAGGCATATTTGTAATCATGTAAATAATGTGTATACTGTACTGGTATATGAAACTATACCGGTTGGATCACTGGCTCACTTGTGTGTTACATAAAATTCCCAAGCACTTCTGTAGATCATGGAAGAACTGCTTCAGAAAGTGCTTTTTGCCAGATGACCTTTAAAATTTGTATGGTATATAAAATGCTTCGGCTTCAAATTATTCTTCAGAAAAATACGTCAGAACCCGCATCGATTTTCCCTATAATCCCTGCGTACAGAGGAATTCCTTGCATTTGTCGGGCTTCCTCAAAAGAGCGACTGGGTATAATAAGTACAAGGAAATCCTAGTTCTTATACCAAAATAAAAAGTACCTTGTTTCGGTTCCTGTTTCGTGAATGGAAGAGTTCGTTTCAGAGGGAATGTGGTCAGCTCGGTGTCCTGACAACGTCACTTGAAGAAAGAATTACACTCAGACAGATACACTTCCTTTTTATGTGATAATCCTTATAATGCCTGTGCAAAATTGTGTTATGTAACTATATGAAGCCAGCAGTTTAAGGATGAACATCGTCTCACATGAAAAATTTGAATACGGTGGATTCTCTCCAAAAATAAAAAAAAATTCGAGGGTCCACAAAAAATTTTTTGTGGATAACACATGGGGAGAGAACCTTTTTTGGACCCGAAAAATTCCTTATACAGAGAAAATGGTTTTATATATAAGGCCATTGCTAAGAGATTCCAGCTGTATGTGCAAAAAGCCAGCCATTTCCTTGAAATTCAGCTTCTTAATATTTCTTGGAGTTTTCTGTCATCGGATGAAATCTTGTACTTCTTATTCAACTTTTCAGAGAAAAATATTTCCGTCTGCTGTTAAAAACATGCAAATAATCCTGAATCAGCGGATATCGTGCAGTTGATTCGCCCTCATTGTTTATTGGATTTTATTGGACTTCTTTTATTTGATGAGATGGTTTGAAACTCCATTATGCCATATAAGCTCATAAAAAAAATGACACTGTCCTTTCTCAACTTTTTAGAAGTACCAAGCACAACCACCACCACCGCTATACAAGAAGAAGCAGTAGTTCACGAGACACACAGAGGAGTGAACTTGTGCTCTGGTCCTCATTATTTCCCTGAAGACCATTCGTCATTACGGTAATTTTCTATTAATTTCCTCTTATTTAATTTTGATTATGTATCAGTGAAACGGGGAGATAATTTGAACGCATATACAGTAATTACTTCTTTTGTGCTTAATCGATAGTATTTGGAACTGCTGAGATGACTAATTTCTGCGCCAAGATCAATAATTTTTTGCGCAAAAATTCAAGCACGAATGGGGAAAATCAAATTATTGAATCATTATTGATCATCGCCTTCATGGATCAGCAGTAAAAATAAAAGAATTTTAAAAAATTCAACGTAGATGATGAAATCACAAATTTTCGAACGAGACGCAATTTAGACGTTTATCATCTGATATTTCTTTGATGCTTTATGTTGCAGCAAAAAGTCAAATAAATTATCCGAAGACTTTAACGGTTATTAACCGAAATCGTTTTTTTTTCAAGAAAAAGAATATCAAAAAATTAAACGTGGATGACGAAATCATAAGTTTTTTCGAACGAGACGCAATTTATAAGTTTATCATTTGATATTTCTTCAATGCTTCATGTTACAGCAAAAAGTCAAATAAATTATCCGAATTTTTTTACAGTTATTAACCGAAATCGTCAAAAGTTTAAACACTTTCTTGAACATCTACGCGGATCGCTCCTTCAATTTTTGGAAGAAACAAAATCGCTGTCGATTAAGTTGTCAATTTTTGAATCGGTGTAATAAAATTTTTGAACCACTGAGGAATTTTTCTAAACTCTGCGCAAAAATCAGACACCGTCTCATGTGCATTATTTCGAGCGCAAAAATTTTTTACTTTTTAGTTTTTGGTCTTTTTTTATTCATTGATTATTTATTACGTCACATCATGAAAAATGTGTTTAAAATCTTTCCTATACAGTATATATACGTTCGTCAATCAATCGATGAGTCCTGCAGTAAACATTCCACATGCATGCCTGATGACCTGATGCGAATTTTATTTTCTGCCAATTTTTTTTTTTTTTTTTTTGCGCATACATACAATATAAGGTGTGGCGTCGTACGAAGTGACGTCGTTGGGTCCCGCGATCATGAACGGCAAAGACTTCATGTCCAGCATCAGGGAAGGCAGCAATTTGAACAACGGATTGCAGGAAGCCGTGCCGATTGTAATACGGTATATTCGAGTATTTTTTTTACTGTGACAGGAAAGAGTTGAAAAATCTTCATGGTTCGTGTTGGTGGTGGTGGCGATATGTTCTTCTTCGTCATCAAGTGCTCTGTGTGTCTCCTCACCACTTGTGCTCTGGTCCTCATTATTTCCCTGAAGACCATCCGTCATTACGGTAATTTTCTATTAATTTCCTCTTATTTAATTTAGCTTATGTATCAGTGAAACGGGGAGATAATTTGAACGCATATACAGTAATTCCTTCTTTTGTGCTTATTCGATAGTATTTGGAACTGCTGAGATGACTAATTTCTGCGCCAAGATCAATAATTTTTTGCGCAAAAATTCAAGCACGAACGGGGAAAATCACATTATTGAATCATTATTAATCATCTCCTTCATGGATCAGCAGTAAAAATAAAAGAATTTAAAAAAATTCAACGTAGATGATGAAATCACAAATTTTCGAACGAGACGCAATTTAGACGTTTATCATCTGATATTTCTTTGATGCTTCATTTTGCAGCAAAAAGTCAAATAAATTATCCGAAGACTTTAACGGTTATTAACCGAAATCGTTTTTTTTTTTCAAGAAAAAGAATATCAAAAAATTAAACGTGGATGACGAAATCATAAGTTTTTTCGAACGAGACGCAATTTATAAGTTTATCATTTGATATTTTTTCAATGCTTCATGTAGCAGCAAAAATTCAAAGAAATTATCCGAATTGTTTTTACAGTTACAGTATTAACCGAAATCGTCAAAAGTTTGAACGCTTTCTTGAACATCTACGCGGATTGCTCCTTCAATTTTTGGAAGAGACAAAATCGCTGTCGATTAAGTAGTCAATTTTTGAATCGGTGTAATACAATTTTTGAACCACTGAGGAATTTTTCTAAACTCTGCGCAAAAATCAGACACCGTCTCATGTGCATTATTTCGAGCGCAAAATTTTTTACTTTTTAGTTTTTTTGGTCTTTTTTTATTCATTGATTATTTATTACGTCACATCATGAAAAATGTGTTCAAAATCTTTCCTATACAGTACATATACGTTCGTCAATCAATCGATGAGTCCTGCAGTAAACATTGCATATACATGCCTAATGACCTGTATACAATAAAGCGAATTTTATTTTCTGCCATTTTTTTTGGCGCATACATCCAATATAAGGTGTGGCGTCGTACGAAGTGACGTCGTTGGGTCCCGCGATCATGAACGGCAAAGACTTCATGTCCAGCATCAGGGAAGGCAGCAATTTGAACAACGGATTGCAGGAAGCCGTGCCGATTTCCTGTCGCTATTCCGGCGACTGCATTTCGACACTGACGCACTCGCTGTGTGTCAACGGCACTTGCGAGTGCATGCAGGGCTTCACCAAAGAAGTCTACGACTCCGTCACGCAGTGTCGCTGTCCCAAGGGGTCCACTCGGTTCGGCAATTATTGCCTGAGGATTGCTGGTAAAAATAAAATTTATTAATGACCTCACCATTAACTCGTATTTAAATATTATCAAAATTTAATTGGTTTTTTTTAAGATGTTGACCAGAGATGATGTGTAGAGAGTCGCAAAATAAGCTCAATCTGGCAAGTTGCACTCTTTAAATTATTTATTAACTCGTATTTAAATATTATCAAAATTTAATTGCTGTTTTTTTCAAGATGTTGACCAGAGATGATGTGTAGAGAGTCGCAAAATAAACTCAATCTGACAGGTTGCACTCGTTAAATTATTTATTCACTTTGCAAAAATATTCTCTCTCCTATAATATTGGCGCATATTTTCAATTTTAAACAGAAGTAACACTTGTTAATACAGTATAGCTTGTTGATTTTGCGGCGTGAGAAGCGACATCTGTCTGACTGAGATCAGCAAGAGATTCGAAACGCGAGATGAGAACTTGAAATATTTCGTGAAAAAAAAAATCGAAATGCAAGTTTTTAATGTTCGTTGTGATGATAAGTGATTGCTGAATTAAATTTAGATGGAAAACTTCGCACTGGGAATGTGTGATGTACAGTAATTATCATTTTGGGCCATAGAATACAGTACCATGATTAATTCTTCAGTGAGAAATAAGCTTATTATTTTCCATCACTGGACAAAGTCAAAGTATTTTAGTGTGGATTCAGCAATAAGGAAACTTCTTATTTCCATGTGCTTGTTGTTCTTTGGCTATTTGGTGTGTTTATCTAGTGTGATAATTTGTCTTTTTTTTTAGGTACATAACTATTTTTGAATATATGCTATATATATTATCTAAAAATGTGTTTTTGTTGAAATTTAAGGCATTCTTGGAGGTCAATGTGCGGATGACAAAGGATGTACAGCTCAAGGAGCATTTTGCATCCAAGGAACATGCAAATGTCACCCAAAATTGAGACCATGGGGTGGAAGATGTTGGTAAGAGATTGTCTCCTTTAATTTATTTTTGAAAGCACTCTGGATTTTTGTTTATTTTTTTGAATAACAGGAATGCTATGGAATTGGATACAGCCTCTCAGAGGGAACATTTGACATTGCTGATATGTCTGGTGATTGCTGCTGGACTCATTTTGCCCCTGGTTGTTAAATCTTGTTCCAGGTAAATTGTATTTTGAAATTTTATATGCTATATTAAAAGAGAGGTCAAAATTAGCATTTTGCTTATCCGAATATTTTTATTCACTGAGCAAAAAGTTTCCCAGCGATTTTATGGAAGTCGTGTTTTAAAAAAATCTAAACTCAACATAGATAGAATTATTATTCAAAGAATTTTCTATTATTTACAAGTGATTAAGTAGCGTCATTCAAATTAACCAATGTAAAAGCCTTTTGAAGTTTCACTGACCATTAAAATGACATTTGAAGCACATATTACAGTAGTTTGTCTTCTCCATCCAAATACAGTACAATTTAAATTACACAGTCTGGAAATTCAAAGTTTCCGTAAAAGCTTCATTACTCAAAATATGTGAGCAGGTGGTCATTAAAAGAATATTTAAATTCCCATTAAAAATGATCCAGACCTGAGCTGAATTTTTTTCGAGTTTCCCTTTTTCAATTGAGAAATTTATACTGTACTTTGCAGCCATCACAGGGCAAGAAGATCACAGCAAAATGGAGACTATTCGTCAAATTTGTCAATCCGCATTCCTCCGCCACCAACAAACGCTGAACGAATTTTGGCACAGTTTGCAGCAGCGGAAGCAAATGGCGATCCAGATGCCGTATCCATGTCTCATTACTTTGCAGGCAAGCATATACTGCAAAAAAAAAACCTCCGGAGTATAAAAAAAACAATAAAATAATGTTAATTTTTTCCGGTATCAGAACACGACAAGCCGCCGACTTACGCAGACGCCGTCGCAATTTGCAAATCCCTGAAGGAAGAATTCAAGGCGGCTGCGGCTCAGATCGCTGCCAATAATAATAATAATGACGACGTAGAAGCCAGCAGCGCTGAAATTGGCAGTAGCAGCAGCAACAACATCGGCACTGGGATCGGATTGCCCTTCATCAGGAGCGAAAGTGTCGACAGTTCCGACACTTCTGAGACATTGCCGTCGTTTTCGCAGGCCATGGAAAGCAGGCGGAATTCCACGGCTGTTTTCGGCGGACATGACGACTTTAAAGAGTATTTGTCGCCGCCGGAATACACTTCCGGTTCCGGTTCCAGTTGTTCTTCGTCGTCTTCTTCTTCTTCCGCATCACAATCAGAGCCCAGCACGGAAAGGGAAAATACGCAGGATGATAATCAGAGTGATGCCTGATGCAAATATTTTTTTTTAAACTACCAAGTGCTGATTCATTTGTTCCCTTTGCTGCGAAAAAAAAGCAGAGATATTCGACGTTGGAAAAAAAATGTATGACATCTGGTTTGTGAGTTTCTTCAGGAACTTGAAATAATTCAAATCTGAACTGCAGGAGGTTTTCAAACGAAAATACTACGAGGTTTGTCATCAGGAAGTTATTTTGCACTTGTCAAAATCACTTGCTAAATTCATTCAAATCATGCTTTCACTTCCTCTCTCACCAGTGTTGATGCAAAACTAATTGCCAACAGTTGTGTAATTGCCCAAGGTTCTCAGAGTCAACCTTGAGGTTATTTTGAACTTATCTGACAAAGTTGAGAAAATTTAGACCACCTTCTATTTGATGAAAAAATGCAAGTATGACAGGTGAACCTTTGTTCTATGCAAATATGTGACTCTCTTCAATTTGTTTTCATGCCTTTTTTTTTAAATTCCTGAGAAAGAAAAAAATTGTATCAGTGGGGAAACAATAATGTTGTGTGATTTACAATTTGTAAATCTCACTTGGTACATTTCCAACGATATGAAGATTTACAACTGACAGAACTTATGAATTAGACCTTTTAAAGACTAGTACATTACAGTAATTCTCAAAAAGGGATATTTTTTGAAGGAAAGGAACTGCATGTTATACCATTAAACTACATTCCAAATGTTTGCTTTTGAGCTTGCATATATTGCATTTAAATTGATTTTCTTAGCTTTGGAAAGTTCTGTTTGCTGATTGTGAAACTCAATTCTGTCTTTGATTTGCAAATTTTGAAAATATGTAATGTTTTTTTCAACATCAGCCTGATTTTTTTTTCTAATTTACAGCTCATTACTGTCAGAGATGAGTTTTATCAACCGATTCAATTTCTGTGCGATTTTCACATGAGGAAAGGACCGGAAACTATTTTTCAAGATGAAAAAATTTACACATTAAATTTTTCATGCACTTTCTCATACTGTAGTACACTAAATATAATATTTGTTTGTCTTTTGAAGTTTACATACTTTTTATGAAAAATTTTGATGAAGAAGTAGTTTCCAAATTTTCCCCCAGAAATATTCTTCAAATCTATATTCATAGGGAATACTACAAATGTAGACCAAAAACTAAAATATACTGTACATGGGAAATATGATAAATATTTACTCAATTTACAGTTATTGAGGTAGCAGAGCCATTTGTGATATGTATACTGTATATAGCTGTTTTAAAATCGAAAGTTTCTCAAATTCAGATGAATGAATGCGTTTCAAAAGCCGAGGTATTTTTTTTGGAAAAATAGAAAATTTGGTTCCGTCCATGAGAAAATTTGTGCTTCATTTTGAAACAGTTCTGGAATAAATACTCGTAGAAGTTCTGTGTGTTCTTTTTGAAAAAAAAAAAAACCCAGTTTCAGGTACCTTACAACTTTATTCCAACAAATTCACGCAAAAAATATTTCGAAATGAACAAAAACTGTCCCATTTTTTTTTCCTTCTGGGCTTTTCAAAAGAAAAATTTTAGTGGGTAAGAAAGCTCGTTTTTTTCAGTTTGATCCTTGTTCTTCATCGTGTCGGATCGGGATGAAAAGGCCCTTGTTGGAGCCGTCCAAGTCAAAGTATTGTTCTGACTTGACGACCTTACGGGACTTGGTCTTTTTCGATGACCTGGGTCGGTCATAGTCGCTGGGCTGCTCATTCTGTTGTGGCCTGGGTTCTTCGTAATAGGAAGGACGACGCTTTTCAGCAGAAGGCACGTGTTGGTGGCTGCTGTGTTTCTGCTTTGGCAAAGAAATCTCTGCTTCTGGTTGTTGCTGGTCTTCTGGTCGGGGTTCAGGGAACACGATCTTGATGTCAGTGGGTTCACGACTGACCTTAGCCTGAAAAAGTGAAGAAAGAGAAAGAGAGGAGGTTGACATTTAACCGAGAGGTCACAGGTGTCTTCCTCTTCCTTGGCGTCCGCGAAATTCCGCGATATTATTCTTGTAGCGCTTATCTAGATGTCACTCTTCAATCAGCGGATACAAGTCGAAAATGAGAGCCTCAAAAGCTCGAATACTGATTGCTTCTTGAATTCGACGAAGAATTATGCAGGATGTACGTTTTTTTTAAACAACGATTGAAAATTTACTGTTTCATTAAAAAAAATCAAGATTTGACATCAATTGATGATTTTTTTTTTACCTCGAAGCCATTTATGGCATCGGCTGTGTAGACAACTTTTCTGATGAAACCATCAGGGTCCACGACCTGATACGACCCCTTGATGACCTTTCCATCACTGATCTCTTGCCTTTGCTGATAATTGGTCAAGCTGTCATCGTTGACGGCAAAAGCAAATTCATACGGCTGTCGAAAAAAAAAAATTAAGAAGGGTCACAGTTCTGCAAAAATTGAATGCAAGGAAAGAGAACAATTCAACATCAAAATTGTATGCATCAAAAAAGTCTTCAATATGATTTTATTTAATTTTTCGGGGGCAAGAAACTGAGTCCGAGTCCTCCGAACCACACTTTTAAAAACTAAAATCCATATTATGTTTATCATGTGCTGATTGTTGTGCAACCTTGACCTTTTCCTGACCTCGGAAAAAAACTTGAAACAAATTATAATCACCAGTACTCAATGCTGATCTGAAAATCACCTCAGTCAACTTGAAAGAATGGTAGAATGTCTGGAAATTTTTTAAACAAGCAAAAAAGGCTGCTAACCCTTTTTAAACTCGAAAAATTCCAATTTTATGTCTTCACAAAATGTTTTTTGCGGTTGAGAAAAATTCATACATTGTTTATGCGTCAATAAGCTTATAGTCAAATATTATACCTTATATGGAAAATTTACGGACTCATTATTATTCAAAAAACAGAAATCACACAAAAAATTCCATGAACACTGCCTCATATTTCTTGCTTTCGGATTAAAAAAATAATAATACAATTTTCAAATTTCCTGTTTTGTAAATTATGTCAAACTTACTTGTGGTGGAGCTTGGATTTCCTCTTCCTCAACATCAGGGTCTTTAGAGAGACTGAATTTTTGTGAATGTTCCTGCTCATCTTGCTGATGATGATGATTATGACCTTTAAGTGCTGAAGCAGCAGCTGATGATACCATCAAGGCAATCACAGCAATCACGAAAGAACAACGAACCTGCAGAAATGAAATAAATTGTAAAATCTTCCACGCCAACATTGCAATCAAAATTTATACAATTGTCACTAAGTGAACTCACCATGGTGTTTACTGCTCTTGAAATCCTTTATCCTAGTAAATAGAAAATAGTCTGAGCTGTGACCGGCGCACGACTGACCCAATACCCGTCTCAAAGTCGGCTTTAAATACGAGTCAGGTCGTGTCGGGTCATTGCTGGCGCCCACGGGAATTCTTCGACATCGTCGACGTCGTTGCAACTTGCTCATTATTTTCATCACTGCCCTCTCTAAACCGACTATAAATGTAAAAAAAAAAAATTCAAAAGAAACGGGTGTCACAACGAAATTGTCGGTTGACCAACGACTTCGTGGATAAAAAAAAAGCAGCAGGAAATAAATAATAACCATGCCGCGAATTTTTAGATACTGGTATGCATTTCTTCAGAGAATATACGACTTACTTTCGCATGCGTTTTTTGGGGCGAGGCGTCTGAAAAATTTCCAAAAGTATCCGAAATCATACCCTGTCAAAAAATACATTTTTCTTTGATGATCACCGTTTGTGGCTAAATTTGAAAATGAATTTGCCAATTTGATGACGAAACAATTCCTCGAGTTTGTACGTCAACATTTCCGCGTGAAACACAACAGAATATTTGTAACTCAAAGCGTTTTGTCAAATTACTTCAAGAAAATTTTGTTTCCAATCAAGATCTGCGAAAGGACCCAGAACTTATTTCGTGCCCCTCGCAATGTACTTCATAACTTTGTATGAAGTAATCTGAGAAGGAAACCTGTTTCGGACAGGTTGCAACAATGCGTGACATCCTGGAAAACTGATCTGTTGCTTCCGCTGAAGAAGAAAAAACTATAGTTCCACCCGCGTGCCTGAATTTATTGCGATTTAGTGGAACGTGAAACTATAAAAAGAATCATGCTTTAAAAAATTCCAGTTTCCAAAGGATCTCAGTAACCAGACTGGTAACCAGCATTTTTCAGTTTAAATTCAAGAACAAAGAAAATTCGTCAGTCGGCTGAAGACATTTCCATCTAACTTGAAATTGTAAACAATTCGTACGCTTGCAATTTTTTTCCGTGTTCCGAAAGTCGATAAAAGATTATGAAATGAGTGTTTCTCTTGGAGATGATACGTATGTTGACGCATCGTTTGAGCGACATCTGTTTGTATCTTTGGAAATGACGAATACGCGTTATGTTGAAAGAAAACCAGATCCGGCACTTGTTCAACTCAAGATTTATTTCCAGCCAGTTTTCTCATTTTTCACGCGTCAAATATATCAGGCCTTCAACAAAAATCACAGGAATGACCTGAGAAGTTGGAAGAACCGGGAATACTTTGAAAATCTACTGAATATGTCAAAAAGATGACGGAAACTGTGGTAACCGCAATCCTCCGCGTATTTACAAACAAAGAATTTATGTGTCGTTGCGCCCATGGTTGAAGTAAAGATGACATTCGTGGTTTGCTCCCCATCTTTGCAAATTGGCGATTGATACATAGACAGCATAATATCGTACCGGTTGTTTCTCGATAGAACAGGGCTCCCAATGTCCGCCTGCATTCGATATTACATTTTTGAAACATTCAGTTTTGAGTTATTTAGTGTCAATTTTAATTTTATTTGAAGAAAAAACTTACCTTGTCTGAGCAGGAAGTCCTTGCCGAAGGCATGTCATAGCACACAGTGTATTCCTTGTAAAAGTAATTCAAAGGACAAGATCCTCCTCCTTGAAGCTCTGCTTCACTCATGAAGTAACGACCTGAGGATTAAATTTGCTCCACATATTTGTAAAACGTTTTTACGTCTAGGCTAAAAAATTACTGAGAATTAGTTGGACTGTATAATACCTCATTTTTATTATGAAAAGTATCCATCATTTATAAAGTTTTCTGAAAGTTTTTGACTCGCGTCACTTTTTCCTCCAAAAGAATTTATTCGATTTTGACAATATTCTCTAAACTTTTAGATTCAGGTGACTTTAGTGGAATTTTCCATGTATTCCCTCAACAATGAACGGAAAAAAATACAGCGGAAAATTCCGAAAGGGCGAAATATTCCAGAAATGCTCTGGAATATTTCGAATGTAATTCTGCGATGGAAATATTTGTTTTCGATAAATACAATCCCCAGTTATATATCGAGAATAAATACGATTGTGAAGCAGAAATAAAATTCATGCAGTTCTGAGGCTTTTAGTCGCAAAATTCACGAATAAATTTGATATGGAATGTAATACATAAATCGATGAAATAAAAAAAATACTCGCCTGCTGATCCCGATTCCCAACCAATGCCCACGTAATCGTAATCATAATCTTGATAATTCCCAATGTTCAAGTCCACGAGAATCGGGTAAACGAACTCATTTCTCGCCACGTCTTGATTCAGCGGCAGAACTGCCAAATTATTCAGACCAATTTCGTACGCTTTGCCTTTCATGTGATTGTACATCGGATGAAATATGACTGACGGGATTTCAACATTGAAAATCTGTTCAGTGACTTCCACAATATTTGAATCAACGTCACCGAGAACAACGACTAGGAAATTCGCTGGGATTTTCCCCAGTTCTTCGGGATGTACTTGATACGCACTTGTCAAAACATGCCTGTTGACAGAAAAAAAAAATGTACAGTATTTTTGAATTTAAATTTCATCTTTCAATCGTATCACAAATTAGCTCCGAATTTATTCACATTTAAAAATCGAAGATGACGGAAAAGCGGACAGAAAAAATGTTGTCAAGCGCACGTGACGGAATTTATCTTCGAAAATCCATAATTTAATCGATAATTGAGCTAATTTTACGTTCAGACCCCCAAATAAAATCTCATTATCTCAGCTAAAAATAGTCTGTTGGCACATTTATGACCAGACTGATAGATTATTGAATACATACATTTTTAGTCAAGTATTTTTGAGTATGTGATGGACTGCAGTGAATATTTGATAGAATATGTGAAATTCTTCGCATTTCCTTCTGCAAATTTTTCGCACTCACTATAATTTATAATAAAATAAAAAATAAATAGTAATAATAGTAATAGTACAATAGTAATAGTGATAATAATTATAGTCTATAATTTAAAAAAATTATCATCAAAAAATTTAAAAAATGTAAATGTGAATAAGAAAGGATATTTTTTTTTTACCTTGATGAAATCAAAGTGCCAGCAACATGAGGTTGAACGGATTCCACTCCATTCACAGTTGTTGCAACATTAACCCTTGCCAAATAAGGGTGTTTTGAGCGATCCGAAATCGCAGTCCCTCCAACATATCTTTTATTTCTCTTCACAATGCGTGCCCTTCCTTCAGATTCTGCGCGCCAAAAAAATCAAATTCAAATGTTAGATTCTGGCTAGAAGTATTAAAAAGTCGTTTCATTACGAAACTACAAGCAATACTCACCAACTGCGAGGATAGAAAGAAAGAAAAACACACGAAGTGCGCTAATAATTTTCATGATGTCTTTAAAAAAAATTTTTAATGTCAACCACTTCACGAAGCCAATGTCAAGGTTTTTCTGTCAGTGCAGTGTGTCGTGAATGTCTGTGTTCTACACCTGTTTTTTTTTAATGTTTTTTTTTTTACTGTTGCATTTCAGGGATCAGCGATTCTTCCATGGTGCAATCAGTCTACAATGCTTCGAAGCAGAAGAATTCTCTATCGTTTCTTTTCGAAAAAAAAAGTTTGAAAGGTGCTTGAACCAGAAGAAAAAACGTAAAATTCGTCAGGGAACGTAAACTTTTCAAGAAAATACTCCTCGACATTCTTTGCGACGTGAATTCTGTTCTGAAGATCGAATAATTTTTTTTTTAAAATTAAAGCTCAAGTCGTACACAAAATTCTACAGAACTTCATCAAATTATGTTGAAATATTACAATTCTAGGTTGGACTACAATTTTAAATTTTTACGAAAACATTTTATTCATTTGAAGCTCCCAGAAAAACATACAAGGGAAAGACGAAGATAGAAAGATTCGCCATTTTTCATCATTATTTTAGAACACAAATAAATTTTTTTGTTAAATCTGCAAGTGAATAATGGATTAATCCAAACGATCGAGACCAGGTAAAATGCTGATTCAACTATTAACCTTTTTTGAAAAACAAACGAAGGAGAAATGATCGAAAATTGCGTCCAATGTCCTGATGAAAGTATATCTTATGCTTCATCCTCATTGATCGCATAATTTAATAAAAACCAATTTTTTTTAATACTTCGTATGCCTATTTTCGTCCAGCTTATCTGATCAGCCTCGGACACGACTTTCAGATGACCTTTCTGATAAGGCAAGTCACTTTACATCTTCAACTCGCATTAAAAACAAGAAATTCATAGCCTATGAATTTCGATGCCCCGAGGCCCAGAAAATGTCCGACAATTTTGTACATGCCAAGTCATTGATTCAAAATTTTCGCCCGGAATTAATTAATAATTTATCGTGAGTAACAGATTTTCAGAGAACTTCAAAATCGGGTTCGAACTTATTGCGACATGCAATCGAAGGAAGGTAGGAAAATAAATAAATGAAAGAAGGGCGAACAAACAACTCGCCAAAAGGCAAGAGATATGCAAAACAGTCGTCAAACGATAAAAGGTCTCGTGGCTTCCAGAAGAAAGAGAAAAAAAAAATGTTTTTCGTTTTCTTGGCAGGTGTTGGAAGGTGGTCCTTTTTTTCCATTTAGTCATTCTTCGTTTCGAAGCGAAGTCCGTCGCATGTGCTTGACGTGGTTTTTCAAAAAGGCAAAAAATATGTGCAGCTTTCTCAATTTTTGAAAAAAAAAAAAAATTCATGTGTGAATTGTGAGGATTTGATTGCATAAATGAAGTGCATGATTTTATTTCAGAAAAAATGGCTGATTCATCATCCCCGAGTGACAAAAATGTAGCAACAGGAAAATCCAGTCGAAAAAAACGAATCTTGGATTTTTTGAGATTGAAAAAACACAGGTTTCTTGTTTACGTGACCTTTTTCATCACTTCAGGACTTTTGTATGCCGCAATTTTTTCTCTGACACCGACGACGAGGTGAAAGTTTCGATAATTTTTGCGCAATGAAATTGATGATTTAGACCAGGCTGATTTTAAATTGGAGCTGCAAAATTTTCGTTCGGCCATATTTTAATGACTGCTGTTCTTTTATTTTTTTTTTCGCAAACCCAATCATGAATAAGACATTCCATTTTTACGGTTGTAAATTATATGTTATGCTAATTATACAATTTTGAGTCTTCTTAATTAGATACAGTACACTGCTAAAAATGTTTGAGCATTCAAAACTTGATTTTCCCAAAAATATTTCAATTTAGAATCCTGCAGGAAATTTTAGATGCCGTTTATTTTGAAAATTTGTGTCGTAGGAAATTTTAGATGCCGTTTATTTTGCAAATTTGTGTCGTAGGAAATTTTAGATGCCGTTTATTTTGAAAATTTGTGTCGTAGGAAATTTTAGATGCCGTTTATTTTGCAAATTTGTTTCGTAGGAAATTTTAGATGCCTTTGAATATTGTTTTTTTTTGAAGCAGCAAAAATGTTCGCAATTTTCGAGAACAGGAAAACTTATTCGATCCTGATTGTGATATTAAATTTTTTGCAGTGCTTTCATGAGCATCAGCAACCCGGGGTTTTCAGTATTTATTTTGCTGATCACCAGCATAATCAATGGCTGGTTCTCTTCACTCGTCCATCTTCCACCATTACTCGGAATGCTACTAACTGGAATTTGCATACGAAACATCCCTCATTTGGCATTCACTGCAAATTTCAACCCGCAACTAAATGCCGCACTCCGAACATTCGCCTTGCTCATCATCCTGACCCGAGCCGGACTCGGATTGCAACCCAAAACCCTGAAACAAATGCCCGGCACAGTTTTGGCGCTGTCACTCTTGCCGAATTTGGCAGAGGCGTCAACAGTCGCCGTTACTGCGAAATTCCTGCTGGGTTTCCCCTGGAGCCACGCTTTCATGCTCGGGTTCGTGTTGTCGGCAGTTTCGACAGCTGTTGTAGTGCCAAGCATGTTGAGTTTCCAGGAAAAACGGATTGGCAAGGACATCCCGACACTTTGCCTAGCAGCGGCATCTGTCGACAACGTCACGTCCATCAGCATTTTCGGCATCATTTTTGCAGCGTGGACTTCGCAGTCTGCCAATTTAATCGATCTCATCAGCACGCCGTTGCAAGTCATTGCTGCTGTTGTTTATGGCGTGGTGTCGGGCCTGGTTTTTGGCACACTGCCCACGTCGTCGTCGAGAGTCAAGAGCATTTTGCTGATTTTCTCAGGGATCATGGGGTTGTTTGGGGGAGCGAAACTCGGGTTTCGAGGGTTCGGGCCGTTGGCAACTGTGATCACCGCGTTTTTCGCAAGCGTGAAATGGCAGGAAGATGACGATTCGCAACAACAACAGCAGGAAGTGAAGGAGTTTTTTGCGGACGCCTGGTTTTTGTTCGAACCGCTTTTGTTTGGGCTGATTGGCATTGAAATGGACTTGAGTCGGATCCAGGCCAAGGCACTTTATCAAATCGGCATCGTTTTGGCACTCGGTGCCATGAGTAGATTCGCAGCGAGTTTTTTTGCGACTGGTTTCGCACGAGGATTTGGCACTCGGGAACGGGTTTTTATCGCGATTGCCTGGTTCTCAAAGGCCTCTGTTCAAGCAGCACTGGGACCCATTGTGTTGAGTAATTCGGGTTCGTTGTCAGAAGAATACGTGGGATTTGGCTCAGTTATTTTGACTACTGCAGTGCTTGCCATTTTGGTGACTGCGCCTGCGGGAGCTGTGGCTATTGAACTCTGTGCAAAAAAGTGTCTTGCCTCGAATGATGATCATCATCCGGAATTGCCAACATCTTCTGATTTTGGTGATGATCAACACTGGAAACCTGTTGAATTGATTTCGATGACATAAACTGTTGTGTTTTGTATAATTAATTACCAGATTAAACAAAAGACCTTTTCTTAAATTACTGGTGCGTTGCGAATTTTTTCAAGAGATGGAGAGAAAAAAACATTTTTCACAACTTGGGGAACTCATTTCCATGAGATTATGGCACAATATGGCAATTAAGCACACAGTATTTGAATTTTATCAGAAACTCGTTTGCAACCCAAAATTTAATGCACCAACAAGGATATGAGAAATAAAAAATTTTGCAATTGATTTCATTTCCTAAATGGCTCGTGGCTATCATCTTAGAAACGCGGGAATTGAAGGTAATTACATTAAATTTTGCAAATTCTTGTCTACCCATCTCAAAACCTCTCCAGCTCAAATTTTTTCCTTGGTCCCTTGAAATTCAACTTACAGAGGTGCAAATGTTGAAAAGTTGGTTCCCTTATTCCCCCATAGATATTGTAAAATGAAATACCAATACTGTTTGGAATATTAATTGGTTCCCACTATAACGCTAAAAAATTGCACTCCACAAACCACAAAGCATCCTTTAAAAATGAACATGATCTTTCTCACAACACGTCATGGCCTTTACAAATACTGAACATTTGGTAAAGAAAAACTTTTGCTTTATATAATCAACTGATGAAATAATGTTCATACATTATTTTATCAAGTAGATGAATGTTTTGATGAGACATTGAGCATTAGTTCTTTTTTATTGCAGACTAAGCTTCTTTTTTAAATGATCCAAAGTATACCAACTTTAAAATAGGGTGATTTCTCACCCCGGTCGCAGCCCAACCAATGTCTCGTGTTTCATTTCTAAAATCAATCTATTCAAATAGCTAATTTCAAAAATCTTCATTTGTTGAGCAATTATTCCTGACAAATGAAACATTTTTATTTAAGAATTTGCTTTAAAATAAATTTGTTTGCCAAATTTTTTTCTCTTGGATTCTAAATCCCTTCCCAGACGTTCTGGCATTTTTATTACGCACACCCTGTGAAATTTTTCAAGTCTTGAACAAGGAAATATTGTAGTTCTAAAAAAAGAGTCCTTCTAAAAAAATATTTTACCTGGGCAAGAAACCTGTTGGAAAAGAGGTCAAAATTAGAGTTGAGGCTGATTTGGAAGAAATCTAACAAGGATGGTGACAAATTTGTCGACCGAGGCTCCGTCGAAATTTTGTATTTCGTTCACTTCTCATTAAGTCGAGTCTCTCCCATCATCCAAGTTTACAAAAAAGAGGAATACAATATATTTCGCAGCACGCCCTCCAACAATTCCAAAACCTCAGTTGGCTAAATTCAGTCTTTTTTTCGTCTCGAAATCAATATCCACCTAATCCCACCCTCCCAAGATTGCAAAAAAAAAACAAATTGCTTTCAATCCTCGTTATATTAGCAGTTCGTTCTGCAGTTTTGGCACGAAACCTCATCAGAAGGTTTTGCGAGCAGCAGAAACGGCAGGAAGTCTGAGACCGGAAAAATATGTAGAAATAAATTTTTGAAATGCTAAAAAGAAATTGGGATGATTTCTTTTTCAAATTGCGTCTCGCGACGAGATTTTTTTTTCTCTGAGCGTGTTTTTTTTTCTCTCCGTAAATGAGATCTTTCGAAGGTTATTAGAAAAATGATTCCTAGGGTTTGCAAAAACCTAAATCTAGAGCACTATAAATAAGAAATACGAATGAAGTTTCCCTCCATTTAATACTTTCGTCGCTGCGAGCTTTTTTTTTTTTTTGCAGCAGGGAAAAATTGCTTTCACAGCCTGGAAAAATCAGCAATTATCTCTTTTGATGATAGAAGAATCAAGATCGAAGCCACCTCAATCAACGCAATTGCTCACGGGTTCTATGCAGAGAAAAACTTTGCTGAAAAGTCATTGCTGAACAAGTTTTTTTTTCATTATTGTCTAATTCGAGAAAAATTTGGCATAAGCAATCGTTTTAGAAAGTTCCAAGCGAAAAGTTCGAAAAACGTTTTCGTCTTAAAATCTCAGTCTCTGATCACCAGCTGTCCCATCAAAATTTCGCTGCATTTGATAAAAACGAATTTTTTTTTCTGTTTTCTTTAAAAAAAAAAGACTGTTATTGCGACGCCAACTTAACCTGTGTCTAAAAATTGACGCAATGTTCCAACAATACCCTGTATTGCCGGCCAACAAATACCTTGGCTCGCACTTTTAAGGCAATTCCCGGCCATTTTTTTTTTTGCAATTTCGCCCTAAAAATGGTATTGCACCATAAAAACAAGCAATATCCCATTTGCGATATCTCAATGAGCAAAATTCAGCGCTGAGCTTCACACAACAAGCATCCGTATAAGCTCTCGCTGCTTTCCGTTTCTCTTGCGAAAAAAATCGCCCCACACTGCTCAAATCTCCTTTTTCTGCCACAAATTTTCTGCACATTTGCAACTATATAGATCAAAGCTCGCCCGGTATTTTTACCATCAAAATATGGTGAGTTAATACTTACGTGGACGTGGGACATCCGAAATTATTTATTATTCTTGAATAAAAACCCGTGCGAGATCCTTTTGTTGTGGGTCAGATCAGTAATACATTTACCTCCATTTGCAAAAATGAGCAAGAATTAAATTCGAAGAAAGTAAAAATGGACTTCTAAGTTTCGATTCATCGGAGGAATTAGGAATGAATCCTGTCGAAATGCGTAGAAACAAATTTTCAGACAGCTTTCAAATTTCGCGGAGGGGATTGAAAATAACTTACTGACAATTCGTTCAACAAAACAATTCCAAAATGCTTGAAAATTGCTCAAAGTTGCTCACTTGATGGTCCTGGAAATAATCCAATCGATTATTTTACGTTATTTCAGCACCATTATACTGCACGTAAAAAAGAAATACAATGAAATCGTCATTCGACTTGGACTACAAGCGACATCTACCCACGAATTACAATTAATTTTACCGAGTTCGTCGGAAGTACACGTTAATTTTCACGCCGGAATACCTTTGTTGATGCCCCTTTTTGTAAACAAATTTGGAGCCCTTGTGTTTCAGATGAAGTAGCCAATTCATCATTTGGAACGTTTAGTCATGAGAGTATAGGTGTCACACCATTCACATAAACAGGTACAACCAGGAACAAATTGAAAAATGAAACCCGGTTATGGATCAAATCGATCGAAAACTGCGAATCAAGCACGAAGACAAGCAAAGAGGAAGAAAAGTAACTATTCCGCAACTAAAAAAAAAAAAACATCGTCTGTGTAACACACTTTTTTTCTTGGATTGAAGTTGAGGACCGCATTTGATTCAAGCAAACTTTAAGATAACTTGAAGGATAAAAAAGTATTTATATGCGAATTTCAATTTAAAACTGCAATCTTTGTAATTTTTTAATTTTTTGAAAATATTATTCGCTTCACCTTCGATTGCTCATTATTTCACGCCAATATTGCTGCTACCACAGTATTCAGGAACGATATACAGTATATCCCATCAGAAACAATGTACAAGTCTTACTATACAAGCTCCAGCATTCAGTTCACATAAATAACCACTACCTGAAAATTTAAAAAAATCGAAGATTCGAGAGATTCCATGAGTTGTATTTTTGTTGATAATTTTTTAAACTCAATAATAACACTATAATTCGACTTATTTCCTTGTCCATCCTTTAAAAACGGGATCCTTGAAAGTTTCACAAGTCGCGCACAAAAATTTTTTTTAAACTAAAAAAAATTGTATTCAGCATGGAAGATCAAGGTATTTTGAATGGGAAGATTTGCCAAGCATGCTATAGTTTATCTCTTGAATGTGTAAAACGAATTTAATATTCCGCTGTCGATTACGGAATTTTTCTATTACAGTAAATATTCATTTTCAAAAAGTTTTAAAACATATTCGTGCCATATTCAATGTTACAAAAATGTCTAAACAACACCCGGAAACAGAAACTCTTGATAGATTTATTCCATGTTGAAAATAATAGATGAAGAAGATTCTATAGAAAAAGCAGAAGCACTTGGAGTGACACCTAGGGAAAAATCTGTCAATTTTAAGAACGTGCCAGTCAATCCGTTCTGTACTTCGCATTATGCTATTTTCTTTATACAGGAGATTTCCGAAGTTTGAAAAAATGCAAAAATTTTGGGTAGAAGCCGATATCATAGAGAAAAATTAAGTTTTATTTTATTGATAATCTCCTGAAGGGATCAAAGAATATTTTTTGCATTTCATTTTCAACACAAAAAGTGAGATCCTACAAAAATGCAAGGGCGAGATGTCAATCAAATTTTTCTTGAAAAAAAATGAAATTAGGTAGAAGAGATAATTTTGAGGCCTTTTTCTTTTTGGTTTGTTGACGTCATCATGCAGAAGATTTTTGCAGTAAAGTTTAATTATGATGATTGCGGTATGTTTATTGACTTTGATCTCTCTTTCTTTCTATGCAAATCTGTTTTTTTTTTTTTTAGGGATCCCTCCCTCTCCCTGTTTCCTGCTGATCGTCTCTATATATAAACACAAACGATCCCTGATGCTGCACGTGGGCCGTCTTCATCGTCATCACTATTAGTGGCGATCGTATTGAAGACCCCTGATGATGGCCGACTTGGGATCGTCGTCAACGTCATCGTCGACGTCGTTGTTGTTGTTGCAGCTGTGATCACGTGTCGTCGTCGTCGTGATTCTGGTGTTTTTGTTCATCGTAATCCAGATGTCGTTGTCGTTGGCAGCAGGGAGACGGAGGGGCGCTTCATCAAACAGTGTCGACGGAGGACGCGTGGGTGGCGTAGCGGAGTCCGGTGAGCGAGTGGCGATCACAGATGTGCAGGTGGCGGTGCGGGGAAGGGGCGCCCAGGGGGTCGGCGCCGCGTCGCCGCTTCCGCTTCCGGTGGCAGCACACGCACACGCCGATCACGCACACGCTGCCCAGGCCCAGGCCGATGCTCAGGAACAGGAGGATGTTCAGCTCTGCGGCTTGCACGCCTGAAAAGAAAAGAAGAAGAAAAGAAAAAAAACGATTCTCAGGATTAAAAAAAATCACTGGCACAAAAATGAAGGTATGACACGACAATCTCTCAAAAATACTGTTGGGGAACCAGAACTCGGGTTCAGGGACGTCAGGTCCCAGAACCTGAATTCTGGTCCTGTTTTCCTTCAGGCATCCGTTTCCCAGATGCACAACTTCTTTGATGCACATTTTGTCCACCAATTACAGGCAAGAAAAAACGTCCAATGCTTTGGGCAGGTCAGCTGATGGAAGCATTGGGCTGAATTGCATAAAAACCCAGCACGCTTCCACTCCCAGTAATCAGTCCATACAATCAGCTCTTTCAGTAAACTTCCCTTAAACTTTCCAACCCCAATTCTTTTGATTGACTTGTTACTTTGCATCATTGCAGCCTACATTTGTATGCACAAATTTAGTGTCTTCATTGAATGTGTGTTTCATTATTGCATTCATTGTGATGCATTATTTTTGCATTTTGTTTGATTGTGATTTATTGTTGACTGTGATTAAACCAGACAAAACTAGGGATATGTAATTACGGTACCCCCTTAATTACATATTCCTGGCCGCAAACCGGCTGATTGCCCTGCCTTATTATTTCCCACCTTTTCTTCCACTGCGCTATGGTTCTATTCTTTCTTTTGGGTTGATTAATTCCTCAACAAATACTGAACTGAAAATATACACAGAAATCATTGTCAATATTTACTTTTGAAAAATAAATTGAAAGGTTGTGAAACAAACAATAACTTTGTTATGAAATACTTTCTGGCATTCTCTTGCACCTCTATAGCTGACAACTTTTCATGCAGCCGCATAATCTTTCTTTTCATATCCTTGGAGATATGCATTGCTGCCAAGTCACGTGCCAAGGGTTATGCAACCCTCCCCAAAATAAGGTCAGATCCAGGTCTGATCATCATTGCCAAATTATGTCTTGCAAAGTCTATAAAGACACCTGTCTTTACATGCATGCCCACACTCATTGCTGTTTGTTGACTGTTTAGTCCATTGTACATATTTGTGGAATATTGAAGTAAACTCCTTAACTTCTTTTGTAAGAACTTGAGGAGTTATTGAATTCAACCTGGCAACAGGATCAATAAGAAGAATGTGTTGTTTTCCGCATGCATCATCTCGGTCGAATACAATGATGCTATGAATAAAATTCGCGCAATCTTTTTTGCAGATAATACGAGCTAAAAACTCACAGTTTTCCTCGTCAGACAAGTCTCCGAAGCCGCAGTTGTTTCGCAGATTACACCTCAAAGAGCCATCGATGCAGAACCCGCTTGTTGAGCAAAGGAAGCCATCACAGTCAGACCCTGAAATCGAAGAAGAAAAAAACAACAAAGCGATTCATTTCTCTCTCTCTCTCTCCTTTTTTAGAAATTCAAATTGGCAATGCATGTACCGTCTTTTATTTGGGTCCAGACGGCTCGGAAACCCTGAGCACCCACAGCCTTGTCGGCTGTGATGAACGTGAGGCGAAGAGTGTTTTCCACTGAGATTAGCTGGGACTGGTTCGGGGTCAGGGCCTCTCCGCAAATCTCCAATGGGGGTTCGTTCAGGTTCATCCACACCCGCACCGTCGCCCCGGGGCAACCCCGAGCTATATGAAAATGAACAAATAATTGAAAAATGAGCGAAAAACAAAAAAAATCAACCAGGAACACCGGGGAAACCAAAAACTAAAATTCAGCTCAATAAAATTCCTGCAGTAGAACATGCGTTTTTTTGTGAGCATCAAGTCTGATGAGTGTAGACGTATGACGATAAATGTATGAAGCATAGAAATATTTCTTTTTAAATTGCCGAATTGATTGAATTCTCGCAAAAATTGGCTTTGGAATGCGAACACCCAGATATTTGCCCCATGGGCGAGTTAAGCCGGATATTCTGGCTGATTGAATTATTGCTCAAGAACAAATAAAAAAAGCCATTTAACGCTCTAAAAATATTGAAAATTCTTTACCTTTTCAACTGATCACAGAGCATTTATTGTAAAATAAAATGTGCATATTTTTTCACAGTTCATCATTTTTTCGCAGCCCTTGAAAATGATAAACATGGAAAGTCATTCAAAACAATACGGTTGAACCCCCGTGAAAATATTTTTTCTTGAATATTCAGTTTATAGTGTGTCTTTTCAGTGACCTTTGCTTGAATTAAAACATGAGATATTTAGTTTTATTTTTGTCCAATGCAAGAATTTACAAAATTTAGCACAGTTAATGAGATGCCTGGTTCATTAAAGCTGGGATAATTTGAGCTGTAGTTGAATTTAATCAGTAAAGCGGGTTTTCAACAACAATCTAATTTGTTCCAACCACTGGGTTCCCTGTTTGGGGCTGTTTGTCAGAGAAATAATTCAGGTGCAGTAAATAGAAGGGTACATCTGAGTCTCTTTTTTCTCTCTTCAGTTTGGGATTATTTACAGCTTATGATCTAGATAAATTTCACTGCATGCTTTTGAAAATCCACATTCAATACACTCAGAGTTTAGGAAAGGCTCACTTGTGGGTTCCCCTTCAACCATGAAGGTTTCGAATCTCAGCATGATTTTCCTGCCTGGCTTGGAATGAATGTACCAGTTGCAAGTCTGAGCTCTGGCAATATAGTTTCCAGGCCAGCCAGGGGTTGTAATTTCCCCATCTTCAGTTTTGCTCACATTTGCTCCACAATCTGCAAAATAAATGTATGTGAACAATTTCAAGTGAGAAACAGCATCCATCTATTCAATTAAAAGGACTAAAGTACCAATAATGATCAAGTAAGATGCGCAACAAACATTTTGAGGATACATTTTTCAACAACAAAATAATTATGTGTATGTACAGGTGGTACCTTGCAATTTGACCATCCCTTGATTCAATGGTCAAATTTTCTGGGAGTTTGACTTGCAATTTGACCTCTGCCCCACACTTTGACCCACAGAGAGATGCAAAATATCAAATAAAATGTAGAAAACATTGAATTTGATGTTGTCTCGCAATTTGACCACTTTGCAATTCAATCCTAGTCCAGCAATAGCTTAGGGTAAAATTGTGGGGCACCACCTGTATTCATGTATATAAAAATAAATTGTAATGACATAATTTCATGATTAATTTTATTTCTAATTTACATATAAAATTATTCATGAAATTATAATGTCATTACATGATTAATTTCATGATTAATTTTATTTCTAATTGACATATAAAATTAATCATGAAATTATAATGGCATTGCAATTTATTTTAATATTTTAAAAATATTCGTATTTATTTTAAAAATGTGTTATACCTTTTTCAAAATAATTTTTATACGAGCAAATTTCATTTATTTAAAAAATACATTTAAAGTAAATAATTTTTATTATTTTTAATGCAGCAAAATTATTAAATTAAAACAGATTTTCAAATACAGTGACTGGATTCAAATGAACGTTTTACAGGTTTTGAAAAAATGAGCATTTGAAAAAAAAAGAAGCAATGATCAATACGTGCCTCCGAGAATAGATTTGCTGCGTTGACTGAACATGTATCGAGCACGGAAACCGGAAGCAACGTCCACCTCGTTAGTGAACAACTTCACTTTCAAGGCCTTCGCCCCGGGCATTGATTCGATGGGTCCGGGGGTCCAGGTGTTGCAGTACCGGCCCAGTAGCCTCGTCGTGTTGTCATGGTACTCGTTGGAAATCTCCAACCAGTCTTCCACACAAGCGTCTCTGCGAGCATAAATATAACCGGTTGAAAAAGTTTGACATTGAAACCAAGCTTGCTCATTGATTTTATTTGATGATTCTTTTATATAGTTATTTGACTTCAAGATTTAAATTGAACATGCACTTTAATTTCAGAGAAATTTCAGCTGCTTTTTTTAGCTTTGTGTTCCTGAATTGTGATACATTTAGAAAAATATGTAATATTCAAGGGTTTCAACTGGATGTAATATTTTCAGCAATTATATNGAACATGCACTTTAATTTCAGAGAAATTTCAGCTGCTTTTTTTAGCTTTGTGTTCCTGAATTGTGATACATTTAGAAAAATATGTAATATTCAAGGGTTTCAACTGGATGTAATATTTTCAGCAATTATATGGTATTTAAAAAGAGTGCAAACTAACTTTTTTTTCAATATGTTTCATGTCCATTACCCAAATTTTTCAAATATCATAGTCATCTCAAAAAATGTGTGAATCACTGAGTATAGTGAGTAGATGGACATTAATTGAGGGCAAAATTTTGGCTGACCATTTATTTGCTACTTCTATGAATGATCCAAAATATCGGTTGAAGCCTTCACAAGGTAAATTCAAGGTTGAGTTTTCCAGCTGCAGTATTTATGATAATAGAAGAATAATTTGTGAAAATCTAAAAATAATTGTCACAATAAAATTTTTATACTCGAGAAGGAATTTATTTTGAATTTTACTCCCATCACATGGAAACTTTATAAACTCGCATTTTAAAAATTACTTTCATCAAGAGAGTTGGATGATATTTTTTGCACTCACCCTCTGCCCACACCCTCGGCCTTCACCTTGATTATTTCAAAAATGAGACGCACTTGCTCCCCTCGTTGTGGCTGCAAAATAATATCAGTCCATTATAGGCCAAATGGGACATTTCTTGGAGCAGAAAAGGTTTTTTTTTTTTAAATTAGCCTCCAATTTTGCAAACCTCGAAGGTGTAAATGCAGGTGGTGTTGGATGGATAGTTGGATGGGTGCCTTGGGGAGTTGAATTCACCACTTGTCTGGCTGGTGCTGACATAAGTGAAACTGCAAGTTCCATCTGGTGCAGCTGTGCCAGGAATCTGGAACTCTGTCACCAGACAAATGACATAGAAATTAAAATGCAATGCATTATAGCTAGCATGTGGTTTTTGTCATATGTCATAGCATATTTTCTTACAATATTGAAGCAATACGCAAAGCTCTCACAGCAGTGTTATTAAAATCAGAAGGACTACGCATATTAATGGAAATCATG